TTGTGATGGCGTGGTGATGATCAAATGTTTAAACTTGGAAAAGAAGAAAGAGAAAAACAAAAGGCTCAAGACAAAGGTATAAATTGTAGGAGCCATTTTGTTTTAGTGATCAAGACACTTAGCGAGTGTGATCACATTTAGGATTGATAGCCGTACTATTAAGAGGGGTGAAACTCGTATCGTAATGCGGTTATCAAAGTGCCACTAGATGCTCTAACTCATTGCATATGCATTTAGGATCTAGTGCAATGCTAACACCCTTGAAAATGATTTATGAAAATATGCTAACACATGTACACAAGGTGATACACTTGGTGGTTGGCACATTTGATCAAGGGTGGTGAAGTTTAGGTGCAAGGGTAAGAAACTCCACCGGCGGAGTGTCCGCCCGTACAGTGCGGACAGTCCGACGGTGCCACCGGCACCCTAGACAGAAAAGACGGAGGTCACTGGAAGTGACCGTACGCTGGCCTCGGCTGGACAGGCGCGTCCGGTCGGATGTTACAGCGAAGACGCTGGCGTCGGTCAAACGACCGGACGCTGGGTCGCTCTACGACCGGACGCTGGCAGGGTGCGTCCGGTTAGTGCTGACGTACGCTGACATGGGGCACACAGAGGAGATGTTGAGTGACCGGACGCTGGGTGAGTCCGGTCGGGCATGACCGGACGCGTCCGGTCGTGGAAATTCGCGTTTGGAACCTTACTGGAAATGACCGGACGCTGAGCTCCAGCGTCCGGTCACTTTCTAACTAACGCGTCCGGACAAGAGATGACCGTTGAAATCTGACGAACAGCATTTGAAGCAGGGGACACATGGCGTGTATCACGTGACCGGACGCTGTATCACGTGATCGGACGCTGAGGGCCAGCGTCCGGTCGATCGGACCGGAGCGTCCGGTCACCCCGCGTTGCGCCCAGTGAAGGGGTACAACGGTTCTATTTCATGGGGGCTTCTATTTAAGCCCCATGGCCGGCTCAAGCTCACTCTCTTGGCCATTTTCATTGACATAGCAACCTTTGAGCTTAGCCAAAGCCCTCCCACTCATCTCCATCATTGATTCATCATCTTTGTGAGATTGGGAGAGAATCCAAGTGCATTGCTTTAGTGTTTGCATCTAGAGGCACTTGGTATTCGTGTTTCGCTGCGGGTTTTGCTTGTTACTCTTGGTGGTTGACACCACCTAGACGGCTTGGTGCAGCGGTGGAGGATCGGCATGAGGTGGTGATTGTTCGTTGCCGTCTTCGGTGATTGTGAGGGGAGTTGTACCTTCCTCGGTGGAGTGCCGAAAGGTAACTTTAGTAAATTGCTCGTGTCATTGAGTTACCTCACTTGTGGGTAGGTTCTTGTGGTGTCCAATCATGTGGACGAGGTTTGTGAAACACCTCTTAGCCACCAAACCATCAAGTGTTGGTCGACGCAACGGGGACTAGCGTGTTGGCAAGCACGTGAACCTCGGGAGAAAATCGGTTGTCTCTTGCCATTTGTATTCTCCCAGTGATTGGTTTAATCTTCATCTTGTGATTGGTTCATTCCTCTACACGACGATATAATCACCCTACTCATTCATTTACATTCTTGCAAAGTAGTAGTAGCAAGCTCTTTAGTGTAATTAGAATTAAGAGCTTGCTTTGTTGTTTCAAGTTCATCTAGTGGAGCTCTTTAGTGTAGCAAGTGTGAGAGCTCTTAGTGAGTAGTAACATAGCAAATTGTGTGGTTAGTGATCATAGCAACTTCTGTTATGTTCTCACATGAACCAAGTTATTTCATCGTGTTGGTTTAACGAATAGATCAGCAGGAAGGTTAAGTGCACGAGACAATCAATACACAAGTTCAGCAATACTAACTTGTACACGTCCCAAGTTCATCGCAAGTTCGACAATACCTCTGTTCGACATAAGTTTAGCAAGTCATAACTACGACACAAGTTCATCAATACATAAGTTCGACATTACTCGACATACTACATGTTCCATCAGTATATGGGTGTCCGAGTACAAGTGCATCATGTCATCCTAAAGAACTCCTACGACCCAGGAGTATATGGGTGCCGCGGACGTCGCTGCCTCTTCGGACGTGAAGGCAGCACGTTAGGGGTGAACCCAATGTCGGTACGGTCTCGCTAGCGGTACACCCGATGGTACTGCTGAGTGTAACTAGGACCCTACAATTACAATATAGGCATCGTTACTTACAATGTTTAAGTAATTGTGACGTATATGACGAAGGGTTGTTTCAAGTACCTGTTCGTCGAACTGTGTAGGAAATGGTGCATCACCAAGCTGAGATATCCCAATCTCATCATAGTCCTCCTCCTCGTCCTCGTCCTCCTCATCCTCATCCTCCTCAACGTCGTGCTCCACAGGACCCTTGCTTGCATTGCCGAGAGTACGAACATAAGAGGTCCCAGCAGCCATCCTGTCGGAGGAACCTACTCGTGTCGGCATAGTGCTCGAGCGTAAGGAACTAGACAGGTTCGGGTCATAGGGCATCTTCCATGGAGTATCCACACAGCTGAGCTTCTGTGCCAGCTTCTTGCAGCTCCTCCTCACTTTCTGCAAAAAAAGAAAACACGGATGAATGAGTCATGAGAACCATTTAACCTGTCATGGTTTTGAGAATAGAATGTACATCGACGAAGATGTGTAGAATGCCGTGTGGCTCCCCTCTGGTCTTGTGAAGTCGCACGGTTGCTTCGTTGGATAGACTTGTCAACTGTGTCGCCTGCATACACAATCAAGGTAAGTTCGTATCACTACGATTCATAGGGACGCCGACGTGCAGTTGTATTGAAATTCAAATTTCTTACCACGTATCTCTATAGCGGGGCTCTCTGAAGCTGTGTCTCCATCCTTGTCGCCTCGTCGTATGCATCAGTGATGTCATCCTCGGCTTCGTCCTCATCAATTGACTTGTTAGTGTAGGGGGCCTGCATATGTGTGCGGGTACTCCTATGCAACCATTGGAGGTAGCGGTCGAAGTTGCGTTGGTCGTGCGGCGGTTTCTCGGAGATGTAGAAGAGCATTACCTCGACAAAGATTTTGGGTCACCACAATCCACCAATGGAAAGGAGATGACCGCCGATGACAATGGCTGGCCGGCAGCGGCCTACTTCTGGAGGGCGGCGGCAATGGTCGGCCGGCCGGCGGCAATCCCCCTTCTGGAGGACGACAATGGGTAGCGCAGTAATGTCCTTCACGGCTCGAGACAGTGCGGAGAGATGGAGAGGCGGTGATGAGGAAGGGCGACGCGCGGCAGTGGGGAGATGGAGGGGCGGCGGCGGTAGTAAGGGAGGCAACGAGACAGGGGGAGATGGAGATGGAGTGAGGGAGGACGGGCACACGACGGCGGGCGTGGCGGCCGGGGTCACGGTGGGCGGGAGCGTAGGGCGGGGCGGGCGGGGCGCGCGGGGCGCGGCGCGGCGGTCATGGCGGCCGCGGGCTCGTTGGGTGGGCACGGCGGCGTGTTTTCTCGTCTAAGGACGGAGACACTGAGAGAGGGAACAAGGGGTCGGCCGCGCCGTGATGCGTGGCGCGGCAGGCCCGCCGCGCGCGTGACGGGTGGCGCGTCAGACCTGTCACGTCAGCGGTCGCCGCAGCAGTTGACTGCCCTTGCCGCGCGCGTGAATTAGTCACGCCTTGCAAACATGCACGTCCAAAAGTGTTAGTTTTAAAAAAAATTAAACAGTGTCAGTTTTAAAAATAGTTTTAAAAAAGCGTTAAAAATAAATAAAAAACACGGGGGGGGCTAGAGCTGGCCGGACACTGTTGCCGCGGAATGTGTGTGAGAGAGACCCCTCGGCAGGAGCTCGCTGTGCTGTGCTCGGCGACTGACTGACTGCAAGCGAGCCCATGCACCGAGTCAGTAGTCACCGGTGAATGTTTTTTTTTTGTAGACAGAGAAAACAATAAAATATCGCTACAGTATTCGTGTCCGTTCCAACTTTGTTAAGCATGGTTAGGTTTATGAAAAATATTAACAACATTGTTTTTTAAATAATTTATTATTCAACGATCTATCTAACAATACTAATTATGTACTAAAATTATTAATATTTTCTTATATATTTGGTTAAAGTTAGAAATATTTGACTCGTCGAAAAATAAGAATGACATTTATTTTGGGACAGAGAAAGTATCGCAGAATAAATGTTAGTATTTTCATATTCTATATTTACGGTACATAATTACCAAATCTTCACGGGTACTTGTAGTGATATTATTCACGGACAGAGGAGTAGCTTCTCTTCATGTGCGTTGGACGACGCATCGCCGGTGCAAATAGGGAGCCAGATAGAGAGGTCTCTCGCGCGCATACATGTTTGCTTCACGCAATCTTCTAGCCCTTAAGAGAGCGAAAGATGCAGAAAGGGAAGTGTGTAGCCGTGTAGGGAGGGAAAGAGAGAGGTATCGAGTCGGGGGGGGGGGGGGTACTGGTACCAGCTGCACCAGCAGCAGCTGCCGCCGCTAGGCTTCTTCTTCTTCCATGCCGTGCCTTTGAAGTCTCATCATCAATGCCACGAAAACAAAGCGGCACATATACGTATAAGCTTGGCTTGTAGAGCCACTTTGAGGAGAATATATGTGCTTATACGGAAGAAGCAATTAATAAAAAGAGAAACGAGGAGGAAATAAATAAATAAAATGGAAATTGGAGCTGTGACGCCTATGACCTTCCACCAATAGGACAAACACCAAAAGGGATGAGAGAGACTTTTTCCATGTTTACACATATATGCCTCGCTCCCCCCCCCCCGCTTCTCTATCTATATTGTCAGGCCTCCTTGCCCTCCCCCATTCTTCCTCCTTTCTCCCTCTCCCTCTCCCTCTCCCTCTCCCTCTCTGCCTTCCCTTCCCCAGTTGCCCTCGCCATTGTTTATCCCGGCCTATAACTAGTATAAGCCCGGCCGCCGACCCCCGGCCACTGGAACAGGGCCGCGCGCAGGCAGGTACGCAGGGAGATAGATAAAAGGTCGTCCTCGGGGGCAGGGCACCTGAGGGCAATGAACGCTGGAGGCGGCACCAGCACGCTTGGCGGCGGGTGCCCGAGCGGCAGCGGCAGCGGAGGCCCTGGACCTGGAGGAAGCGGCGGCGGCGGGCCCTGCGGCGCCTGCAAGTTCCTCCGGCGCAAGTGCGTAAGCGGCTGCATCTTCGCGCCCTACTTCGACTCGGAGCAGGGCGCCGCGCACTTCGCGGCGGTGCACAAGGTGTTCGGCGCCAGCAACGTGTCCAAGCTGCTGCTCCAGATCCCGGCGCACAAGCGCCTCGACGCCGTCGTCACCATCTGCTACGAGGCCCAGGCTCGGCTCCGCGACCCCGTCTACGGCTGCGTCGCCCACATCTTCGCGCTCCAGCAGCAGGTAGTACACTATACTAGGATCGATGATTGATTGTCTAGTATCGCTGGATTCGATCCATCATCCATACATCCATCCACGGGCTCGATCGATCGATCGCTAGGTAGCTGGGGCTTTTAATTAGATTAGCTACCAGTTCGGAAATAAATCTACTAACTTGCCATGCATGCATGGATTGATCATGGATGCCTACTAGTAGGCCAGGCCTACCAGTGATTGCATGATTTTCCCTTCGTATTCGCGTGTGGATCTGGGTCTTTTCTGAATCCGCCGTCTCTGAGATAAGATTCTGGAGCGGCCAGGCGTGTTTCTTTCTCGAGGAAGGCAAGTCCCCTTTCATGAGGAAATCAACACTGCCAAGCCAAGCAACGGCAGTGCAAAAAGAAGCACGCCAAGCGCTAATCCGGGAGGCCTGCCTGCTGCTGCTGCGCCCCGGCGATGAATGATATGCACTTCTCATCCGTCGCATCCGGGTCGTCGATCGGATCCCTCGCTCCTCCATCCGTCAAGCCACGTGCGTACACACCATGCGTATGTATGCATGTGTGTATATCTATCTTCTACTAATTCTATCTTGGGCTCTGCACAAAACCTTCCAATTCCAAGGAAGTACTACTGCTGGCTGCCAGTGGTTTGGTGCAGTGCAGGTTTCCGATCTGATCGATCGATGAGCCCTGAAAAGAATAGCGCCAGCGCCAATCTCTAGTACTAGTAGCAGTAGCAGTAGCAGTAGCAGTAGCAGTAGAAGTCCTCCTAGATAGAAGTCCAAACTCGCATTCTTTTTTGTCCATCGTGCGATCCTCCTTTGACACCTTTCATTTCATTCATAGCATATTTGCATCCGTGTGATGTGTCTTTTCCATGTTATATGCATCTGTATCTGTATGTACATGATGGCTTCAAGTTTGCACGTAACAATTTACTGTTGGTGCATGTCACGTCCTTCCTTGGATCATTCCCCAGGTGGTGAATCTCCAGGCCGAGCTGACCTACCTGCAAGCACACCTCGCCACGCTGGAGCTGCCGTCCCCGCCTCCGCTGCCGGCCCCGCCGCAGATGCCGCTGCCACCAGGCCCGTTCTCCATCTCGGACCTGCCGTCGTCGACCAGCGTCCCCACCACCGTCGACCTGTCCGCGCTCTTCGACCCGCCGCCGCAGCCACCGCAGTGGGCGGTCCAGTCGGCGCAGCCGCACCACCACCACCACCACCATCAGCCGCAACAGCAGTACCACCAGCTCCGGCAACCGGGGCCGTATGGCGCGCCCGTCAGGCCGGGCGGCGGCCCCGGCATGGCAGAAAGCTCAGGCGGCGGCGGCGGCGGCGGAGACGACCTGCAGTCGCTGGCGGGGGAGCTCCTGGACCGCCACCGGTCAGGCGGCGTGAAGCTCGAGCAGCCGCCACCGCCACACTCAAGATGAGCTGGATGGGGGAGTAGAACGATCGATCAAAAACCGTGGAGAACAAGGTGAGAGAGTTGGCGCGCGGCAGTAACGAGGGAGATAGGGGTCGGTGACGGGCGATGGCCAGCAGGAGTAGGTAAGCAGCATTGGCCGATTTTCGTGTATCCATCCTGTTGTTAACCAGCTGGGGTGCAATGGCGCCCACTTGCTCGATATATGCTCCAGTTTGATTATATTTGCTCCAAGACAAAACTAGAGTGCTGGGCATCGAGAGTAGTACTAGAATTGACATGTATTAGTAACATTATTACCTTTGCCACCGTTCCATTAATTGCAAGATTTTTATATTAAGAGAAAAGCCTCTTGATATGCTGGTTTATATACTGTTAATTGTTCAAAATCTATCTATCACTAATCTTGTTTCCTGTTTTCATAGTCTGAATGCATCAACACTGGTACACATCATGATTTTTTTTGCAACTAGTAGCGTTTAATTAACAACCAGTGAGAGTAGTGTGCATTACGATGAAATTATTGAAGACTATCAGTTTTTTTGTTAAAAATGTGCTAAGAAAGTATTCACTACTACTAGGTCGAATTCCAGAACCTCAGTGTCTCAAATATAGACATAAACATACATCTCACAGTTAAAATCGATTTAGCTACAGAGTTGTCCACTCACAACAGGAAACGGCTGATTTGCCGGGAGCAAAAAAATTTGCCGGGTGCTTTTTATCGGGCACCCGGCAAAGGAATTCTTTGCCGGGTGCTAGGCCTGGAGGCACCCGGCAAATAAAGGCCTCCGGCAAAGCAGCCTTTGCCGGGTGCCGGCACTCGGCAAATTCTAGCCGTCGGCAAAAATTAGTCTTTGCCGGGTGCCGCCACTCGGCAAAATATGGCCACCAAAGGGTGGCGGCTTGACGGACAGCCATTGCCGTCATCCTTCTTGTTGCCACGCCTGTTAGGCACCAAAAAGATTTTTTTTAATTTTTTTTAAATTTCTTTACTGGTGCCCCATGACCGGCACCCGGCAAAGGCTTTTTTTGCTTGGGCCGGCCTTTTTAGTCACGGGCCTTTTTTCGGTGCCGGTGTGACGACACACCTCGCAAAGAATTTTTTTTTAATTTTTTAAATTTCTTTCTTGGGTGCGGGGTGGCACCCGCAAATTATTATTATTTTTTTGTTTTTTTGACCCCATTTTTTTGTGGGGACTTGCTACAGTAAATATATCCCTATTTCAAAATTTGGGACAATTATGAGTTTTTAACTATATTTCCTTAATTTTTCCGTTTCATTGAATATTTCCGACTATTCCAAAATTGAACTGCAGTACATGAAATAATGGAATTTGGTCATTCAAAAATAGTATTCATGATATTTAGGCTATGTCGAGGCCGTATGCGAAAGTGGCATGAAATGTCGCGCATCATGTTGTCGTAACATGACGATGTACTCATGGGGAAGTTTATTTAAATTATATAAAATCCAAACGATGTCCGAAAATCACGAAACTTGTCGATGTGTCTTTTATCACATGTGGATGCCCTGTAAAAAATTGAGAAAGTTTCGAGCAAGTTGCGACGTCGGTTTGCCTAAACCCCGTGCTGCTTTCGGCGGCGGCGGCCCTACAGCCCGCGGCGCCTACCTCTCACCGGCCATGGTGGCCACTGCCGCCCCACCTCACGGGCCGTCCCCGACGAGGCCGGCTGCCCGTGGTCCGGCCGGCTGGGCTCCTCCCCGCCACGCCGGCCAGAGAGAAGGTAGGTAGGTGGAAGAAGGCGTTAATGTTCCCGATGGGTATCACGCAAAGAAACCCGAGCAGGGGAGTGAACTTAGGCACTATGCGAGTCAACGGCATGAAGAGTCATGACTACCACGTATGGATTGAGCGGCTTCTTTCGACTATGGTGCGAGGCTACGTTCCGAGCATCTCCGGCTAGTCTTTGGCGAGTTGAGTTGAGCTATTTCTTCCGCCAGCTTTGTGCCAAGGAGCTATCTCGGACCGTGGTTGCAAACTTGGAGAAAGTGACACCTGAGTTGCTTTGTAAGTTGGAGAAGATATTTCCACCCGGCTTCTTCTTGTCGATGCAGCATTTGATTGTGCACCTCCCGTATGAGGCACGTATGGGGGGCCCGTGCAGGGCCGTTGGTGCTACCCAATCGAGAGATGTCTGAAGGCCGTTCGCAAAAAATATAGAAATAAGGCCAAAATTGAGGCTTCCATTGTAGAGGCTTCCATTCTGGAGGAGGTGACAAACTTCACACAGCTATACTACACAGAGAACCTTCCTAGCGTGCATAATCCACTCCCTCGCTACAATGTTGACGAGAATGAATCCAACCTTAGCCTTTTCCAAGGGCAACTCGGCAGGTCAAGTGGATCGACCAATAAGAGGTTGGAAAATGAAGAGTGGCGCATGATCATGCTATATGTGTTCCACAACCTACCCGAGGTGAAGTCGTTCATTGAGTAAGTTCTCAAAGAACTTGTTTAAATACGCTGTCACTATTCTCAAAGAACTTGTTTAAATACGCTGTCACTATTCTCGTGTGCACAGGGAATTTATTCGTGTATCTTGGCATCAACCAAGGGATCCTACCCCACGGCAAATCGACACCCTTCTTTCACGGGGTCCGGGAGCAGGGAGGCCCGATTTTATTTCTTGGTTCAAAACAAAGGTATTGTCCAATTTACCTCGTACCTAGTTCGAGATTCCGAGTTTCGCGTACTTAGTTCGGCAATCTTTCCTTCTTGCGCTTGCAGGCCCAAACCGATGCAACTATGAGTAAGGAGTTGAGACAGGTTGCAAATGGCTTCGACAGTAAGGTGAAAGCTTATTCAGGTTATGATGTGAATGGATATCGCTTTCACACAAGAAGCTACGAGCGAGCTCGGCCCCATCGAAAAACCACAAACAGCGGAGTTTGTACTCCCGGCACTGATGGCCTCGAGTATCATGGCATAATTGAAGATATCTATGAACTTGAATTTTATGGTTCGAAACCTCTTCGTCTCGTCATGTTCAAATGCCACTGGTTCAATCCTCGACTAACGAAACGGAGCCCTAATATTGGTCAAGTCGAGATTCGACACGATTCCATCTATCAAGGAAAAGATGTCTTTATTGTGGCGGATCAGGCCGTGCAGGTTTATTATTTGTCATACGCATGCCAAGGCAACAAGGCTCTTCAGGGTTGGTCTATTGTGCACCAGGTATCGCCACATGGTAGACTAGCTGTCTCAAACGATGAAGATTACAACTTCAACCCAAACACATGATGTAGAGTTCTATCAAGAAGATGGGCTACAAGGGAGGTTGGTGATAGACTTAACCGAGGCGATTGGAATGGAAGTAGACAATGAAAGGGTTGATGACGAGGAAGAAGGAGATGAGGTGCAAAATGCCAAGGACATAGAAATGCTTGAGCGATTACATTTAGATGATGACGATGAAGGCAACATTGAACCTCCGGACAGTCTTGTTTATTTGGACAATTTTGATAGTGATGACGAGACATATGATCTAGATAATCCCAATAATGATGATTACTTCTAATACATGTAATACTATGTTATTTTGTAATCGTGTTTTGTTTATTTACTTAGCATCTATTTCTAATACATGTAATGACGTCTTGTTTGTTTTTTTTAATTGCAGGTGATTGAACAAAGATGGCGGGCGGTAGTGGGCCAAGGAACGTGAACTCGAGGTACCAGAGGGCACGTCAGGACGTAGATGCCGGAGAGAACGCATCGGACGGGAGGAGGCAGAGGGCCAGGAGCAGCGGCAGCGGGAGCGGCAGCAGGAGGGGCCGGCCTCCTCTAGTCGAGCCACAGGTGGCGTGCCGGGAGGAGCGCCAGTACCACGGACTCCTCGGAGGACGAGCGGAGTTCTCAGCGGCGGGACGAGGTTCAGGCGATGGACAATGCGGAGAGAGAGGCACAGAGGGGCGGCGAGGCCGAAGTAGTTCCACCGCCTCTGCTGCGGCTAGCCCCTACTTAAGCAGGTCCCTCAAAACTCCCCGGCCTCCACTTCCTCCCCACGCCCAAAGTGATCCGCCCCGTGGGGATAGGTAACTAACTTTAGATTTAATCACGCCTACTTCATATAACCTGTTGAAAATTGTCGAGAAACTAATAATGTTTGTTAATGACTTGTGCAGAGCCTTTGGAGTTTGTGTCGCTGGTGACTCACGCAACCCCAACCACATCTTGGGGCTTGTGTGCGAGCACTATTACCCAAAAGATTGTCACGCACAAGGGACCTGTGGGGCCGGCCAAATCGTGGGACCACTACAAATCGCCCCGACGCAGAATATGAAGACAAGCGGGAGCGGGTCGAGAGAGAGTTCTGGTAAGTCTCGTTCAGACAACTTTGATCAATACATCGCATTCATTTGACACTTTTGACATAATGAATTGATACATTGTGTCTGTCTGCAGAGACTTTTTCGTGTGTGAAGAGGGACGGAGGAGGAGGGCGGAGAAGAACTTGGTGAAAAGTGCCGTAAACGCATCAACGACATGCACTCGAGGAGCGCCTCACTTGCATCATCAAGTACTACGCCACGCGACTTGGTCGAAAAGTCAAGAAAGACACGTGCAAGACAGATGTCTCGAATTCGGAACAAATACATTGAGGTAAATGAAGAAGAATAATAATTGATTCGTTTTGAGATTAAGTAGCTTTCATTTGGTCATCTTACATCTCAAATTCTTTATGACATGTAGATGATTCCATGGTGGTGCGAGTCCTTTGCCGATTCTTGCCGGAGAGATGATCGTGGATGTGGTTCACAGAGAGGTTATATCCAGAACACGAAGCCCACCGGAGCGGGCTTTGCAGCGAGACAGGCCCCACACACCACCAAAGGCGTACGCAACCTTGGCGCATACAAGCAAGCTTGGGTACGTGAATTCATTTTAGTATTCGATGCTCCATTCTCGCATATTTCTTCTAATCATCTTGTTGTCTTTCTCGCAGTCGGTATCGCATGGTGGCCACCTTTTTGTCCAC